AAGTAATCCAGTTTGCATTCCCTCTAACAGTAGATGAGAACATATCTACTTCTCCAAATCCTTACTACACTAAATGCTCAGTCACCAAAAGAATGACCCCCTTCCAAAATATCGTCTCATTTTTAATATTTCACTTCTTAGTAAAATTGGATCTTTTATTTATAAGTCATCTATAGTTCTCCTGTAACCATTTCCAGTTTTCTGTGGAGTTCTTGGTCATTTTCTTATAGGATGTTGATAATATAATTATCTGGTTATAAAATATAGATCTCCCAAACCCACTGCCAATGAGTTGACCCTGACTCATGGCAACCCTGCACGAGGTTTCAAAGAGTCTAAATCTTGCCAAGAGCAGAGAGCATCATCTTCATCCCCTAGAGCCCCTGGTGGGTTTGCACTGCTGAGATTCCTGTCAGAGCTCAGCCGCCAGCCCACAGCACCAAGGCTCCTCACGAAACCCGGCTGCAAGTCCTTGGATGTGTAAGGAGCTGTGAGTCTTATCAAACATGCCATCAGTCCATCCATTGGTTTATGGCTTTGTTCATTTTCTCTTTCTAAACCTGGACATGCCTTCCTTCTGCCACATAGCTTACCCAAGCCCCTGCTTCAGAGAGCATTTATGCCATCCATCTCATCTCAAATTTAAATTCTCTATATAATCAAGTTGCTACTTGATCATGCACTCATTGAATAAATACTTATTTTGTACCCACATGTGCTAGACAACGTTCAGTGTGTCATAAAGATAAAATCCTTGCCCTCATGAAGCTTACATTCTGTTGTAGGTTAAGAATCTTCATGTCCCAGAACACGATTTTAGAGGCAAGTGACACAGAACGCCACTCAAATTGGCTTAGTGCACAGGGGTCTTCATCAAGTGGTGTCATCCAAAAGCCCACGGGCAGAGCCAGCGTCATGCTGAATGGATTTGCAGAGGGCCTTGGTTTTGCTTCTCTGTGCACATCATCCCAGCACACAGTCCAGTAGAAAAGAGGGGACTCCGTCTCTCGGTAGAGGTGTTACCGCCCGTGTTACAGCTTCATCACGTAACCAAACCCTGGGTCAGGGTGTAGGATTTAACTTGGAGGGCAGGGCTACTCATCAGGGGCAAGTGTAGACTAGGGGTCAAGGTCAGGGATCCTGGAAATAGACTTGGAGTGGAGGGGACCTAACTTTGGTCTGTCATTTACTGTCTGTCTCATCCTAGACAAGTTACCTGATCACTCATGATCACACTCCGGTCTTCTGGGAAACAAGGCAGTAAAAGCGCTGCAGAGTTGTGACTATTCGGTCTGTGTTCATACCTATGAACACATAGAATACCTCTGGGCATGTGAAACCCGGTATTTTACAGCAGTAGAAAAACTTGATTTAACTAGCTCAAATAATAAGGAAGATGTATTGGATCTTGTTGGTGCTAAGTCATCTAATTGTAATCTTTGGAGGCAGGCAGGCGGGCAGAGTTTGGGTTTGGCATTTCTACAGTTTTATTCAGAATTCTAGGGCTCCTACCTCTTCTGTACAGAAGAACAATGGAAGCTTTCCAACCTCCAGCCGAGGAACAAAAGGTACAGGCTTCCTAGCAGGACGAGTTTAGGTCACGTGCCCACTTTGGACCCATTCGCAGCAGCCAAGAGAAAGTCCTGGGCTCCTGGCTGTAGGCATGAATTCCTTTCACATTTCTGAGCCCAGAGGAGTGGTGCTGTGGTGACAGGGAGGCTGGAGAGCAGGCTCAGCCCCTCCTAGATTAACCTCCTGGGCTGCTACCCAATGAATGGGTCTGGCATGGATGTGCCTGTTTGAATTTATTCATACGGAAGAAACATACATTTTCTAGAATTAATTTTATTTTAGAATATAGAAAAATTGAAGCAAAAAATAAAAACTGCCTAAATGTCTTTTTAAAAAATATTATTACAAGGCCAGGAAATGCAAATATTTATACAGTAATGTATAAAACATGACAGAAGGTTATTGAGAGCAGTGGTAACACTAACACTTGAAAATGGATTGTATAGTAAACATTGACATCAAAATCAATTTTATGAATTTGATTATCGCACTGTGGTTATACAAGAGAACAGTTTTGTTCTTAGGTAATACATGCTGAAGGATTTGGGGATACAGGCACATGATTTCTACAATCTATTCTCAAATGGTTAAAAAAAAGTAATGTGTAAAAATCATACATATACAGAAGGCAATGGGGCCAATGGCCCTGGAAGGTAGAGGGGGAAGAAGGAGGTGGGGAGAAGGGTGCGATGAGCAGACGGCGTCATGGACAGGGGAACAACTAGGGAAGCGGAACCAGCATCTAGGAGAGGGTAGAGATCCTGTGAGTGTTAGAGCAACACCAAGCCAGTGGAGAGGAAGCACTAAGAGGGGGAAGAAGGGGGAAAGTCGTGGCGGGGCAGGAGGAGGCAAAAGGAAACAGAGGCAAGCTCTAGGAAGCAGAGGCATCGATAGGGAGATTAGCAGAGGTGTGCACTTGTGCAAATACATTAATCCATAATAGTAGTGGTATTGGCCTATGGACATATATTTATAAGGCAATACATTGAAATGGCAGATGGGCCTTGGGACTCGGCCCATAACTTCCCTCAATACAAGAACACTTTGTTCTAACAAATTGGCATTCGGTGATGCTCAACTCCTCCGACACGATCACTGAAGAGAAAATGGGTGCATAAGCAGATGTGGTGAAGACAGAGGCTATTAAAAGATATAGTGTCTGGGGTCTTAAAGGCTTAAAGTTAAACAAGCGGCCATCCAACAGTGAAGCAACAAGCCCACATGGAAGAAGCACACCAGCCAGTGAGATCCCATCCATTGAGACTGGGCAACGGGCATCATAAGATTCACAACAAACAGTAAACAAAAAAAAAAAAATGCATTGGTGAGAATGGAGGGGGGTTGGAGCGGAGACCCAAAGCCCATCTATGGACAATGGAACATCCCCCCACAGAAGGGT